AAGGTGAGTGTAATTTAATAAGAAAAAAAAAAATGAAGAAGAAAGAGAAAAGAAAAGATAAAGGAAAGGGGGGTGGGGGCAGCCCCACGTGGGTTGCCTCTCTGCTTATTTTTTTATGTTTTTATTTTTTTATTCAAATATTGATTTATTTATATGCACATCTATATATAAAGGGAAATTTATTGATAAATCCCATTTAGAAGTGTTTTAACCCAAAAAGTCCATGAACAAATTTATTAACCCATTTAGTCCCATATATGTATAGTTTTATTCTATAAAGTCATTTTTCTTGATTTACACTCTTTTTTTAGACTCTTATGCCTTTATATTTAATTTTGATACCCTTACAAATATTTTTTGAACGGTTAGCAATTTTATGATGTAAATATTCATATTTTAACATTCACATTGGTAAGAATGTAAAATTGGCCCGTGACCCGTGGGCGGTCCGAAGATCGCCCTCGGGCCGGGGCGGGCCCGGTCCGTTGACAATATGAATATTCACATTGACATGTTAACATTCACATTGATAGAAGTGTAAAATTAGCCCGCGGCCCGTGGGCTGCCTGGGGTGGGCTCGGCCCGGCCCATTGACAATGTGAATATTCACATTAACATGTTAACATTCATGTTGATAGGAGTGTAAAATTGATCGGCGGCCCGTAGGTAGTCTGAAACCAGCTTGCGAGCTCGGCCCGGCCCGGTCCGTCCCGTTTACAATGTGAATATTCACATTAACATGTTAGCATTCACATTGATAGGAATGTAAAATTAGCCCGCGGCCCGTGGGCTGCCCGAAGCCCGCCCGTTGCCTGGGGCGGGGCGGGCTGTAAATATTCATATTTAACATTCACATTGGTAAGAATGTAAAATTGGCCCGTGGCCCGTGGGCGGTCCGAAGCTCGCCCCCGAGCCAGGACGGGCCCTGTTCGTTGACAATGTGAATATTCACATTGACATGTTAACATTCACATTGATAGAAGTGTAAAATTGGCCCGCGGCCCGTGGGCGGCCCGAAACCCGCCCGTGGGCTACCCGGGGCGGGCCCGGCCCGGTCCGTTGACAATGCGAATATTCACATTAACATATTAACATTCACGTTGATAGGAGTGTAAAATTGACCCGCGGCCCGTAAGTTGCCCGAAACCCGCCCGCGGGCCCGATCCAGCCCGTTTACAATGTGAATATTTACATTGACATGTTAACATTCACATTGATACGAGTGTAAAATTGGCCCGCGGCCCGTGGGCTGCCCGAAACCCGCCCGCGGGCTAGGCCCGGCCCGTTTACAATGTGAATATTCACATTGACATGTTAACATTCACATTGATTGGAGTGTAAAATTGGCCCGCGGCCCGTGGGCCGCCTGAAGCCTGCCAGTTGCCCAGGGCGGGGCGGGCTGTAAATATTCATATTTTAACATTCACATTGGTAAGAATGTAAAATTGGCCCTTGGCCTGTGGACGGTCCGAAGCTCCCCTTGGGCCGGGGCGGGCCTGGTCCGTTGATAATGTGAACATTCACATTGATAGAAGTGTAAAATTGGCCCGCGGCCCGAAACCCGCCCGCGACCAGTGGGCTGCCGGGGGCGGGCCCGGCCTGGCCCGTTGACAATGTAGATATTCACATTAACATATTAACATTCACGTTGATAGGAGTGTAAAATTGACCCGCGGCCCGGGGGCTCGGCCCGTTTACAATGTGAATATTGACATTGACATGTTAACATTAACATTGATAGGAGTGTAAAATTGGCTCGTGGCCCAGAGCGGGTTCGACCTGTTGACAATGTGAATATTCACATTGACATGTTAATATTCACATTGATAGGAGTGTAAAATTGGCCCGCGACCCGGGGCAAGGTCATTTGGGCTCGGGCCCGAGCCCAGCCCGAGAACTTGGGCTAGGACTTGGGCCATCACTTTGAAGCTCGGCCCGCATAAGGCCCATTTAAGGCTCGGGCCGAGGCCCGGCCCGCCAGAGGCCCGGTGTCTTTTTTGTGGAAAATAATAAAATTTTGGGAGAAAAAATTAAAAAGAATTAAAAAAATGGCGAGGCTCACCCAAGCTCGACCCAAGCCCAAGTTTAGGCCCAAGCCCCTTGGCTCGACCCACCGGGGCACCAATTGGCCCGCGACCCGGGGCAAGGTCATTTGGGCTCGGGCCCGAGCCCAGCCCGAGAACTTGGGCTAGGACTTGGGCCATCACTTTGAAGCTCGGCCCGCATAAGGCCCATTTAAGGCTCGGGCCGAGGCCTGGCCCGCCAGAGGCCCGGTGTCTTTTTTGTGGAAAATAATTAAATTTTGAGAGAAAAAATTAAAAAGAATTAAAAAAAATGGCGAGGCTCACCCAAGCTCGATCTAAGCCCAAGTCTAGGCCCAAGCTCCTTGGCTCGACCCACCGGGGCACCCAAAGCCTGAATACCTTTGTGCCAGGGCTAGGGCCTAGGCCTAATTTTTTGGCTCGTGGGCCGGTCCGGCCCGACCCGAATTTTGGCAAACACCTACGAGGCTTTACATGGGTTGGCCCCGGCCCGAGCTGGGCCGAGCCCTTACACATTGATGATATGAACATTCACATTGACGGTGTGAACATTTACATTGACAGTGTGAACATTCACATTGATGATGTGAACATTCACATTAGGGGTACTTTGGTAATTATGTCACCCATAGGATGTGAACATTTACATTAGGGGTATTTTGGTAATTATGTAACCCATAGGACTTATTGAAACATAAGAAAATAATGTGGATTAAATGGAACATAAGTAGATGAAAAGGGTATTTTGGTCTTCTTACCTCAAATAGGAACATTCACATTGACGGTCTACATGTAATTTCAAGCCAAGGGCTTAATGTGTAAACGAGTTAGAACTCTTTGTTGAATCCAAGTGCTAACTTGGAAAGCTGTAAGCCCGTAGGGCATTTTGTTATGAGGTTAACATGTAATACTTATGTAATGGAACTCTAATGAATGAAAGAATGTGGTTAGTTTATATGTAAATGTATGTCTTATTAGATGGGTTTATTGTTATTATTTTGAGGGCGTTACAAATGTGGACTAAATGGAACGTAAGTAGATGAAAATGATGTTCTGGTCTTCTTACCTCAAATAGGAACATTCACATTGACGGTATGAACATTTACATTGACAATGTAAACATTCACATTAGGGGTATTTTATTAATTATGTCACCCATAGGACTTATTGAAACATAAGAAAATAATGTGGACTAAATGGAACATAAGTAGATGAAAAGGGTATTTTGGTCTTCTTACCTCAAATAGGACCTAATGGAATAGTAAAAAAGAATATGGGTTGGATGAAATAAAGCTCTTAGAAAAAGGATTTATCAAAAAAGCTCCCATATATGTATATATATACATCAATTAAAATCATTTTAATAACAATTTCACATTCTGTAATATAAAATAATATAATTTTTCTTATCCCAAAATATATTTTTCCATTTAATAAAACACACCATAAATTTACATTTTAAACATTTATTATAATACAGTATAATAAATAATAACAACTCTAAAAGTGATACCTTCCATTCACATAATTAAAAAAAAAACCAAACAGTTAAACATGTGTTACATGAACCCAAATTAGATTGATTCTAAATTATGGCTTTTGAATTAAATTTCCACCGATGAACCAAATATGCTCCAAATATATACAAAACTAAACTCAATAAATTTTACCTCAAGTCATGATTCTAACATCAAATCTCAACACAAAAATTCTGCTATAAATTAAACTGAACACTGTTCAATTCGTAAATTTTCAGAAAATAAAGACTCATGCATAAACACTTTATAAAATTTTCATAATGTTTGAGCTATACAACTATTTTTAAAATTTTACAAAAATAAGATCTTCAACTCGAGAGACACAAATTTTACCCTAAACTTGTGTAACAAATTAAAAATTGTGTTTTAATTATCATAAACCCAATTACAAATGATCTTTTAATATTAAATATATATATATATATATATATCACTAACCACGTGGTGCAACAACCACCCAATTGAATTATGTAATGATTTTATAAATATTAAAAAAAAAAAAATCCAGTCATTACAACTATTCACCAAATGAATCCGCCGAAATTGAATTGACAATCTGCAACACTATACAAACAGCAATACAAAGTGTATTGTTGTCCCTTAGTCTCCCAAACCACACTATCACCAATTTCCATCCATCAGGTTTTGAGAAACAACATACTAGCTGCCAATAACTAGTGAGTAAATGACCAGTGACACTCTCAACACTAAACTATAGTGAATCAAATGGATCTCTCAACACTAAACTATAGTGAATCAAATGGATCTCAATTTGTCAAATGAAAATGACATTTTTTTTTTCAAAAACAAATTGCCAAATGAAAATGTCATTTTTGGGCCTTATTAACATGTGAGATGCGGAGAGAGAGTGCATGCATGGCCAAATGTTGGCAATTGCAAATTTATGCTTTGTTGTTTGGGTAGAAAATATTTTTTTATGGTTAGTGGTGGTGGTAGAATGAAGGTAGAGGTAGAGCTGGTAGCATGGTGGTGGGCCAACGGTGACGATGATAGCGACGATGACGGTGGTGGTGGCCATGGTGATGATGGTGTGGTGGTGGAGGTGAGGGTAGCGGTGGTAGTATAGTGACATTAATAAGACTGTTCGGAAAATATATTCTGCCTTTTAAAAGTAAAAAATATTTCATATCTAAATAAGCTTGTTTTTTGTTGATAAGAAAAATATTTTTCATTGACTTTCGTTTTCTATTATTCCAAACACGAGAAAATACGAACCAAGCAAAAGGATCCAATCCAAGATCTTCAGTATGGGAAATAATATCTTTATCTTTACTACTTAAATAGCACACAACATATTTATTTTTAAATCAAAATTAAAATTTATATTTTACAGATTTAACAGCACACTCATCAAATAGACACACACCTACTAGCATATATATACATTCTAACCTTTGATATTGTATTTGCAACTTCCCAGCATTGCGTAATGCATCAGCTTGACCAAAATTCACCATGGCCCCAAAAGCTACGCCACTTAGATCAAATTGAAATGCACTGAATTCCTTGAACATATTGGATTTGACATGCATGTCACCTAGATATATTTTGAAAACCATATATATGCTTATTAGATAGCTTCAATTAATGTATGAAAACAATGGAAAAAAAAAATGAAAACAATGAAACATTTTTGGTGTTTCTCAATTTTAATGGGAAAGGATTATCTCCCGTCCACAGTTTTACTAGAGGGGTGTTATTGAGGTTCATAGAGCCACCGCATATCCTATTTTGATAATTTAAAAAAAAGAAAGAAAAAAGATTCATTATATTCATAACTATATGATTTCATTATATTTGTTTAAAAAAACGAATGACAAGTATAATTTTGAAATTATCCATCATTTTTTTAAAGACCAACATGAAAACAATTATATGGATATAAATATGGCATTAATCTGAATTTTATCCTAAATGATCTACACAAAAAAAAAAAAAACTTTACAAATTGTATAATTCAAATCATCAAAATAAGACCCATAATGTATCTTACAAACTAATTATCACACTTGTAATTCAATAGTAAATTAGTTAGACAGAACTACTTCCCATATTAATATAGAAAGCCAAAAACATATAAGAGAGCTTGTTTTCTTCAAATTTTTAGAGAGACCTATGCAATTTACTCTAAACTGTACAACCAAAAACATATTTGTTTTATTCATTATTTGAGGTGAGGGGTAGAGAGGAATAGAGGTGTTTAGTTGTAAAGGGTGAGCTGTCCAGTAAGTGTGAATAAGAAAAAAATAGGGGTTTAGTTGTACAATTTAAATTTTCTAAATTCTTAAATTATTATTTTTATCCATTAGATTAAATTTTTACTATTGTTGATTTGCGAATAGTGTCTCTAATTAGACCATATGAACTGAAATAAGAAACAATAAATGGATGCAACTAATAATTTAGGAATGAAGTAAAACACCGTGACTATAGTTTACTGTATAACAAAATATGAAAATGTATTGAATTTTAATATATATATATATTTGTATTTTTGGTATTTGGTGAATTTCTCCCCCCCTCCACAAATATGATACTTTTTAAGTGTATCTAAATTAGATGTATTTAAGAAATAAAAAATTTGCATAAAATATTAAAAAAATTCACTAAAAAGGAATACACAAAAAAAAAAAAAAAAAAAAAAAAAAAAAAAAAAAAAAACACTCAAGTTTTTGAAAAGTGAATTAAACCAAACAAGGTAAAGATATTATTTTTTCATCCATATAACTAATGAATTGTTGATAAAAAATAAGCTAAGGGTGTGTTTGATTGGGGGGATAAGGGGAGGGGATTATTTACTGCACGGATTGTAATCCGCACAGTAAATCCAATCCGATGTTTGTTTTTTTTTTAGTCCGCCGGACATGAAGTCCGGCCGGACTCCTTATCATCCATATGGGGGATTATATTATCCTAGGGGGGGGGTGTGGGATAATTTTGTTGGGCAATCTTCACTGTATTTAAAAGATTTAATTCTATTGTGTACATAACAACAATTGGAATTTAAAGAAATAAAGAAAAGGAGAGAATTTGTTTGATTACAAAAATCAAACTCGAAATAATAAATAAATAAATAAATAAAACCACAGATTTTATTTTGTTACAAAAACAAAAATAAAATCTGATTAAATAAACAAATAAAAAACAGAATAAAATTAAACAACTTACTTGGTTAATTTATTTGAATAACTTTTCTGATCAAGTCCAGTGTTTAACACTGTGTCCTTAAGACAGATTCGTCCTCTCCACGGTGCTTTCAGAATTTGGACGTCTATCTCCCAGGATGAAATGATCTTACCATAAACAATAGCAGCACTACAAATTGTTTGTCTTACGAACACACTAAGTGTTTACACTCTTTCTTTCAGAAATAAAATGCAGCAAAATGCAGAGATTTAAAGCAGAGGATGGAGTATAAAAATTGGAGTGAAATCCAAATGGGAGGCTAGTCTACTTATAGATGTAAAGGTGGCTCCTGGTTTTTGAATTGAACATGTATGAAACCTGTTAGTTTCAAATTTAAACAGATTTGAATCTGTTGGGTTAATAATTCAAACAGATAAAAACGGGAAGGGCTCTGTTTGGATGAGCAAAAAATCCAAACCAGTTTAATTCTGGATTTTATTTTACCAAAAAATAAAATTAAATTCAAATGTTTTTGGCCTAAAAAGATTAGAAGCCCAACCCAACCACACACCACGCACCCGCGCCCAAGCCCAGCCTGCCCGACTGGACAGACAGCGGCGACGGCGTGCGTGTGGTGATTTTTGGGTCCAATGGGTCTAGCCCATTTTGCCCATAACCTCTCCCTCTAAAACACTTGGGTACCCCTTGGGGCACACCCCAAGTATCTAACCCAAGCCTTATAAACCCTTTCAAAACTTCCCACCAAATCAATGTGAGACAAGCCAATTTACAACCTTAAGGAATTTCTATCAAAACTCCATTTCCATGGAGCACACTTTGGCTTCAATTTCTCATTCACTCGGTAATGGTTTTGAGCAACCAAATATACCACGTGAATCACAACGCGGCATAGAACGCGTTACCACTTTGACCCGAGTAAATCGACACTCGGGGCCCACCTAAAAAATAGACCGAACTTAGGAAAAAATTCTGGTTTTATCCAGAATTTTATAACCATTCCAACACAGAGAAATAAGGGTTTTTGTGGGTTTCGATGGTGACTGGAGAGACAGAAAGGAACAACAGAAAAATTGTCTGTGAGGCCCACTAATTTGCTGCTGTGGCCATGGTGTTCGCCGGTGTGTCGAAATGATGAAAAGGGTTGTGTGAAAGTTGCAGGGGTGAGAGATTGGGGTCTCACAATTTGGTGTATTGGTAATTTTTTTTTTTTTTGGCTGTCCGTTTACGATAAAGCGGTTAACGCTGTAAACATATTATTTTAATAATTTTTTAATTTTTTACAAAAATAAAAAAAAGTGATATAATAATTTTTTTGATTAAAACTGAAAATTGTGAAACGAGACTTTAAGGATGATATGCTATCAAGGTTTTAATTATTATTATTTTTAAAAAAAAATTTAATTAAAATTTTAATTTAAAAAATAATATAAATTTTTATTGATATTTTATTTATTTAAAAAAAATAAATTTATTTAATTGTGTAAAAAATAAAATAAAATAATTTTTTTTTAATCTAGCTAAAAATAATTAAAATATTAAAGATATGTTTAATATTGCTTTTACTTAGTAAACAATTGAAAAAGGATAAAATAGTCTTTTGTTCATTTATCCTATCCAATCCGTCCAACCAAACGTTGGATTCACTAAAAATAGTCTTTTCCAGACATCTAATCCCATGAAAAAACAAACACAGGATACATATTTAATCCAACCAAATAGTCCGGGGGATTCACAGTCCCAGGACATAAGTCCGATGAATTCTAATCCTCCCTTATCCAGTCCGTCCAATCAAACACACCCTTAAGTGTTAACCCACTGTAATTAGGAGAGGTCGGTGTAAATTTACCTAACCAAGCACTTGTCTTCTTTTTCATTATTTGAAGTAGAGAGAAATATGGGTGTTTGGTTGTCTAAATTGTAAAATTATTTTATTAACCATTAGATTAGATTTTTAGCATTAATGATTTGGACTATTTGTCTCCAATCGGACCATATGAACTGAAATCATCAACAATAAAGACTAAAATAGATGCAATTAATAATTTAAAAATGAAGTAGAAAAAGTGACTATAGTTTAGGGTATAAAAGTAAATTTAAAAAAAAAAGACCTATTAAAAAAGTTTCCAAGTCTTGTCCCTTTTTGAATTGCAGTTATTAGAGTCAATAACAAACCTTTATTTTCATTGCTCATTTATTACGTCCATGATTTTATTTTTTTAATTTTTCGCATGATGATTTCCAATCAAGTGCTTTGTATAAACATCAAAGGAAATAAACTAGCTTTATTATGTATGACACAAATAAACTGCTAAGAAACTAAAAACAGACTAGATAACAACCATAACCAAGCCATAGTTTTTCATGATGAAGCAAAGAATGCAAAAAATCATTATAATACTAACCAAAAGGACACCACTTGCATTCACTAATTTCACCTTCCTCTGTTCCTGTGAGCATGCTTTTTAAATCTCTTTCTGCTTTCGTTTCGTTCACCTTCAATGATCTTCACAAGCTATTGAGGTTTTCTTCTAAAGAACATAAGATATCCCATAACAAGTCCCCATACTAGCCCACATCCATAACCCGACAATATGACATACCAATTGAATCCACTTGAAGAATACGTATCGTCTTCTTGTTGTGGTGTGCAAGGGTCACTGCATGTAACTGACAATGGAAGTCCACATAATGCCAAGTTACCAATGTAGGAATCATTTAAAAATGTATCAAATTGGTTGCCTTGTGGTATCGGTCCTATTAGTTGATTCTGCGAAAGGTTTAAGACTTCAAGGAATTTCAAATTATTTAATTGTTGAGGGATCTCCCCAGTGAGTTTGTTGGAAGAGAGGTCTAACCATTCGAGCATTGTCAAATTAGCCAGAGATGTTGGAATATGACCTGTAAGGCTATTGTGAGACAAGTTGAGCCCTCGGATTGAATTTAACTTTCCAATGATCTGTGGAATTTGACCTTCGAAATTGTTTTTCGATAAATCAATTACAGTGAAAATGGTTAGGACTTTTACCATTTCTATGGTTGATTCTTTGATTACCATAGTCAAACAATCATGATAATGATATCGATACTGATACATAGCACCAACAACACCAACAACAGTCTTCTCTATGTATTGCAATTTAAAATTGGCTTCTATGACATTCATCATTGCATCGAAATTCTTGAAATATGTTTTTGGTAGTGGACCAGTAAAATAATTGTCTGACAAATCCATAACTCTCAAGTTAAGGAAAGGAAATTTGGCTTTGGAAGCTGGCATAGGTCCATGGAATTTGTTAGAGCTCAAAATTAGAACTTGCAACCAACGTAGTTTTTCCAACCAAAATGGAAATTTGTCAGAGAACTTGTTACATCCAAGATCTACCACTTGTAGCATTTTGCAATTGACTAAAGATTTTGGTACTGTACCCTCAAATCCATTTCCATTAAGGTTGATAATTTTGAAGGAATTTCCCTTTACAAATGTATTAGAAATTGTGCCAGAAAAATTATTCTTCCGCAGATCGAGCACAGAGAAATATGTGCTGAAGTTTCCTAAACATTGTGGAATAGAACCATTAAAGCTATTACTAGACAGGACAAGTAATTGAAGGGAAACAGCATGACAGAGCATGTCTAGCTCACCACTGAAGTTATTTGATGAAAGAATGAGACTAGAAAGGTTCACGAGTTTGAAGGTTGAACTTGGAAACCTACCATATAGGCTGTTATTGCTCAAATCAATAACAATTAAATCAGTGGATTTGAACTCTTTTACATGGCCAGTCAATTTGTTATTACTGAGGTTGAAGTAATTCAATGCTGGTAAGCTAAAGATCCTAGATGGAAGAGGTCCTGTTAGCTGATTATTCGACAAATCTAACACAAGAAGTGATGTTAGGTTTGCAACCAATGATGGGAATGGACCGCTGAAGTTATTTGAACAAACATATAAATAAATAAAACTTTTTGCATTAGGTAAAAAATCTGCAATTTTACCTTCAAAATTATTACACTGAACTCCCAATCCGACGAGATTTCCAAGGTTTGAAAGTGAAGATGGGAGCATGCCGGTGAAATTGTTAGATCCGATGGCTAAACCAGTCATTTCCGTAAGGTTTCCGAGCGACGTAGGGATGGATCCATAAAATTTACAACGACCGGCATACAACGCTGTCAAGGACTTCAAATTCCCAATTGAGTCGGGTAGTTCTCCAGAGAAATTAGTGACCGAAAGCGCCAAGTACTGGAGTGTACTGCTCGAGTTTATAAACTCGGGAAAATAACCAGTGAGAGCATGATTAACCATTATTCTCAGCTCATTCAGATGTGGTAAATGGAATATTCCATCAGGAAATTTTCCACGCAATCCACAGAAAGAAAGATCGAGAAGTGTTAAAGAAGTCAGATTGAGCAAGGAATTCGAAACCACTGAAGATATGTTTACATGTCTAAGATTAAGTTCTCTTACCTTGGTTAAGTTTTGAACAAGTAATTCAAATCCCGGTTCTTCCAACCTCAA